CAGCCAAACCACCCCTGGCCATAATATCATATACCGAAAATAAGCAAAGCCAACGCTTGGCTTGTTTAAAACAAAAAGAGATTTCTATATAGCTTCCTCTTTTTTTGCTTCATATCTTTGATCAAACAGGTAATATATCTTTTATACCAAAATAGTGGTTTGTTTTGATTTAGTCAATTTATGTATTTAGAAACTATATTTTTCTTTTAGGTACCAATTGGTATTGGTATTGTTAAAATAAATCACAACAAAACTGTGTTTTTTAATGGCTTTTGCTTTACGCTCAATGTAAAACCCTTTGTAGCTATTTGAATAAATGTTTTTATTTAAGATAATGTTTTTTCTTTACGTCACTTCATCCGATACCATCTGGAAATCTTCAGAAAATAGTTCTAAAAAAATATCTATAATAGAATATCTTGGTTTTTTAATAAGTTTGCTATCATTATTCTAAGGGTCAATTTATATCAAGCGGAAAAGTGCTGGCGCGCTTTTTGTGGCTATTAAATACTCCGTGTACATACTTACTGCTGCGCTGAAAATGCAAAGGTCTGTAATAGTCTATATGAATGAAATCAACAAACCAAGTCCATATTAAAAAAAGGTCTCAATTTAACTAAGATATTTATCTCAATTGTACCCTATTATCCTGAATTATTATCAAAAAGTAAATTACATTATTGGCCATTTTAACTGCTCAGAGTTCAAACTCTTTTCAAAAATGGAATTAACAAATATTGTTTGTAAACCAAGTTATATTTACATTATGATTCCTAGCATTATTAAAACTTCAAGACCAAATGCTTGTCAACCATTGTTAAAGTTACCATATTATAATGAAAGACCAGAAATATGTTCAGCTCAAACTTAATTATTTAATAAAAATAAGACTTATTCTTTAAGAATTCGTGATGATAATTTTTTTAAAAGTGACCAATCAAATACTCAGTCACTGGATAAAGGATATGTGCACCACAAGAGCGACGTCGATACCGACTTAATCAGCTGAGCTGTGGATACTATTAGAAGAACTGCAGGATGGAGCATGACCTCATCCGTTTTTGCAAGTTTTTACAATAAATGTCAGTAGACTGCAAAAAGTTAATAACTCATTCAGGGGTCTTTGTATGCGCTTCTAAAATAAGGTCCCAAGCAAAATACAAAAATTAGATATCATGCTGTTTAAATCTACTATTAAAAAAGCTTATTACAAGGTATCCGATTATATAACACTGGATAGGTGATTACTTCGAAACTCAATATATTATTATTAAATTATTATGTTATCATTATAAGACAATGGTTTTTGTTTCGCGCTATGGTTCTTGAGAAATGCGAGGAAAAACAATCTTTTTAACACAAACTCTTTATTCTAGAACATAATAAATTGCAGAGCATTAATAACATGGCGTCTTCCTGTGATATTACAAACAAAACGGAAACAGTTCTACTGTGTTAAAAATCATAGACAATGTGTTGCCAGCAACAGTTTTTCTCTCTCTATTTATAACGTAAAGACGTACTGAATGAGAAAAAAATGTTGGACGATTCAAAAGTACTTTTCAGAAGTCTAATTGAATAAAGATTATTAATACTTTTGATTATAAACTTTTTCTTCTTCTTCTTTTTATTAATGACGTTGCCCTAGATTGTAAGATCAGTGTAACCAACTCCTAACAAAATGAAACCCTAAAATCAAACTCAAATGACCCTGAATGGCGTAATCAAAAGCCCCAAAAAGCCACAGATTTCCTGGGTAGCTCAGCGGTTAGAGCAGTCGCCCGGATTGCGAAAGGTCGTGGGTTCGATTCCCATCTCAGGGTACCAGGGACCAAGTGGATTTTTAAGCATTTTGTATTGAGAATAATTTTCAGTACGGCATTGTGAATGTAAAATTAATCAAAATATAATTGTTTAAAAAAGTTTTCTCTTTATTAAGGTGAATAAAACAGAGCTGTTTTAATTTAATTTATTTTATCAGTTTAGTTTTGCTTTTTAGCAACAATTTAGATCTTTCATGTAAATAATTAAAAATCTAAATGATCAATAATTGTTAATAAGTCGTGTAAATCCCGACTAGGCGTTTGATTAGAGCTTTCGCAATTTTTTAAATCATACATTGTTACAGAGAACTACTGTAACATTTTTGGAGATGGGGTAAACGTATGATGGTTATATGTTTGGAAACCTCCACATGATGGTTATATGTTCGGAAACCTCCATACGATCAGAACAACCCATCCCCACACCAACCGACAAGCTGCACTGCCAGCCAATATTCGTCTTTTCAATCACCGACACTTTCACAGTGGCCTGAGTTCCTACATCCATCTTTTCTTTCTTTAATTTGGGCGAGTAATTTTCCTTCCTCAGATTATCTCTCTCCCTCTTCAAAGACCTAATCTCTTTCCTCAACTTATTGATCAGGCCGCCAGAATTCGTAAAGAATTCGCACTTTTTTCAATCATAATCCACAAGTCGAGCGCTGTATCAGACAGCTTGCGAAATTCCCGCTGAACACCCCCATAAGTCCCTACCAGGAATTTGTCCACACTACTCATCGCAAGCTTATTATAGTGCCAACTCCTCCCATGTCCATTCTCGTGAGCCTCCCTACTAAGTGCGACTGCCAAAGTCTCCGCACATTCAATTATGGCTTCTCCCTCAAGATCAAAATTAGGATCCAACTCATCCCACAGTGCACCCTCCTCACCGTCCGTGCACTCAGATTCCCTCACCGAGCCCGGATTCTCCGTCTCCTCATCCATCCTCTCCGATTCACTCTATCCGACTCTACCCTCTGTCCTTCAGCCTTATGCGACAGAGCCTTCCCCTACTCAACTCTCACCTCCTTGCTCGTCTCTTCTCTCGTCACCACTCACCTCCCACTCGCTTCCGCCTGAGCCAGGCCCCCTCATAACAGAAACTATGTCCCAAAATTCAGTGAATTCGATTTCGGGTTCGGAATTTTACGGAATCGCTACCCCTGGGGAACTTTTTGGAATTCATTATAAGTAGAGTTCCAGCTGTAACTCAAGTCATTCGATTTTATAGTGCCATTTCGTTTCTTATAACTATTTTAACATGTAGTTTAGTAACGGATAACAAACTATAAATATATATTAGACTGCAGTGTTTCCAAATTACTTATATTAGTAGTAAAAACGAAACGAAATATCGACATAATATTCGCTTAAATATCATATCCTATGGTTAGAGGCGTTCGCATCGCATCTAAGGTTCTGGGAACTGTTATAGATTTGAATATAGCAAACATCGGTAAGAATTTAATACTCCAAGGAATGACCAATAAGGCGAATAAATAAAACAAATAAATTGGAATTCTCATAAATATTGTCTCTCCATAAATACAATGGTGTTACAAATTAAGTAACTTAAATTTCATAGAACAGAGAACAAATACATTAAATGCATTCAAACCCTGCATTCATATTACAATCTCTATAAACTTAATCACTATATATATGAATCTATCTGTCCTTTTTCAATATATGGAGAGAAAGAGAGGCAGCTACTCTTAAATATGTTTTTGGTGTTGTCAGAAAGAATCACTTACTGAACGAAATATGTAATATAAGTATTTATTTCACATTAAAATTATTATTGATAATAAATTATTTATTATTACATAATATTGCAAATAGAAATATATTGATAACAATAAAACTAAGAATGGTAAGCAAAGATACATCTTTTTTTTTCACGCTTCTTATATTACTAATTGTGACATAAGTAAAAATATAACTGATATTATAAACCTTATTCTTAAAAACATAAGTTTGTATTTTAGATAGCAAATGGGGAGATAAACTTATTTATCTCTAGCTAGGTATTTTAAAACATAACTACAGTAATACCCACGTCCGATTTAGATAGAAGTTATATGATACCGTAATTGGCTACTCGACTCTCGTTTAAAATTGTTAGTTAGATAACACCAAACAAAATTATAATATTTTATGGGAACCTGGAAAATTGCGAAACATAAACAGAAGAAAACGCTATCATAGAGATCATACGATTAAAAATAAAATGGCTCCGCAAAGCATATGCTGGAGTTCCATAAAAATATTAGTTGAATTTCGACAAATGATTGGAGTTAAAGTAAAATAATATATTTTTAATAACCGGTACACATTTCAGTTTCATTTAAGGTCACCGTGTAAATATTTGGTTTTTATCGCCAAAAAGTTTGAGAACCGCTGACCTGTTTTCACGTCACATGAAATATAAAAAAGCTTTTGACGACATCCATCGTTGTAACCTGCAATGATATGCACTTCAAATAGTTAACACGACTCTTAAGAATGTATAAAGTAGCCTATTAGGTAGTTGACTAAATATGTATTAACTCACATAATTAAGTTACTAACTGAGCTGCGGTAAGAAACAAGTAATATCGCTAATCTACGTACCTGCGCAGAAGGCTTAAATTTTGTAGCGTCAAAGCGACCAATCGGAACGATTCAAATAGGACGCCTAACCAGCGTAATGTAAGCGAGGACGCCTAATACGTTGTATTTTCCGCCTTATAGTTATTGAAAGAAGATTCATTATGATTTTTCATAGTCTGAATTGGTAAACGAAGATTCGCGTAAGCCTGTTAGAGCAGGGCTTCTCAAAACTAAGAGCTGTATATTCTTGTTCAATATAGATAGCAAACCTTCCCTACCCCAACATTGATTAAATTGACTCGAGTGCCTATCAATAATTAATCCGTCAATAATATGCGAAGTTTTAGGCTTTGCCTTTAAGAAATCCTGCTCTATGGTTATGGCTCAGTTACATTGGTGGATGGGCCCCACATATATAGTGCGGGCTACCTCTGCGGGCCCATCTCATTGGTCAATAAGAAAATGAAAGCGAGGCATAGAAATCGCCCGCATACTGAATGTTTAACCTTCTAGCGTAATTAACCATTACGCTAGATGGTTAAACTTTATGTACATATACAAAGAATACTAACGTAGGTTTGTGTACGTATAACTTAAAAATTGAACAGTAGATCGACTGGAAATTTTTACACGTTTTTATACAATTTCGTCCTCAATTTCAATTTTTTACATGTCAGACGTAGACAACTAAAATACAGTAAATAAACATTTCAAACGTTGTCTTCGAAATAAACGAAGTTAACTCTTGTATTTAATTATAATAAAATATTTCTTGATTATTCAAGAGGTATATCTCTACATAAACGAATCTGAGATGACGTATTATCCGAAACGGAAAATTTGAACCTTTTTCAAAAGTAAATAAGGTCTATATCCGACCGTCATCTGCCGTGACATAGACTCGATAGGAACGCCCATAGATTATAGAGGTTAGATCAGCAGGCCAATAATTCGTTCATAGCTCTCGTTCCACATTCGCTCGCCCAGTATACGGAACCACAGCCGGTAATCAAACCCCATACGTAGGGTGTGAAGAATTCTTCAGGCCTCTCCTCTTCGACGTATCTGAATTTAAGGTCGGGGAATTTCTGAAAGAACAAATATAATTAAAATAGGTAAGCTCTTATTAGGCATGTGGTGAGTATCGATACTCCCGAGTGCTGAAATCAAAAACATAATTATTTATTGCATATTGCCTTATTATTTATTGCATCAAATTTTGCTATAGTTATTTCTTCTTTTTATACCCGCTTATTTCGTGTGTATCATGACATCTACAGATTTGATACTAGTATTTTCATTCAATACCAGTATCGATTGTATCGATGATCGAATACCCATTGTAGTATCGAAACCGTATGAGTACTCGGTATTAACCTATTCCTACGAATGATTTAACTGATATACAACGCTAAAATGGAATGATGTTAAAGCCCGAGGTAGAAAAATACCTCTAATGATCAAACTGACCGCGTGCTATTGAAAGGTGATATCAGAAGTCATAAAAACATCTAGTATCTGTTGAAAACAATTAGAAACGTCAAATATGTATATGTGTGTGTGTCCATAGAAAAATTATCGACTATAAATAGATTTTTTGATTTTTGTATAGTTTAAACAACGCGGTTATTGGAATAATCGCGGGACTTTACAAACGTCGCCGTATATCTATTGCTGGAGTATCTGTGTGAGTGCGACGGAAGTATATTTTAGCGCGAGTGAAAGAAATAAGTAATGACGTTTTTTATACGACAATTTCTTTTCGGCAACTAGACTTTTTGTTCAATTAATTTTATTTATTTATTTTAGGCTGTTAACAGCACATTTAAATGTCGAAAGCTATGCCATTGGTTCGTAAATCTACGGCGGGAGGACGAGGATATCAAGGACTGCTTTCTGCTTTTTCTCCCTGTTTTATTTCATAAAGAGTTGTCCAATTAAAAAGTTACTTATTAGGCTATGAAGTCACTTTACACTACACAAAATATTACAAAAAGAGATAATACTTTCGTTAATCGATCAATATGCCGCGTGAAACAAACTCATTGATAATAAAACTGGTATACAATATGGATAATAATTGTAAATAAATAAAAAATTTTCAAAATTAAGTAGTTCATAGCAGACTCATCCCTACAGGCAATGCCCGTACACGAACATGACGCATGAGCTAGCCGTCGCTTTGCTCTTTTTGAGAGAGCATAGCATATTTATATACACTAACTGAACCGGCGAACTTCGTGCCGCCATATTTTATTTCTCGGATTCCTTTTTATAAATTTTCTCATATATAAGGTTCATATAAGGTTCATATAAGGTTTAAGGTTAAGGTTCATATATATGTCCTGACAAACTTAACATCCAATTTGGTGCAGTCGTTTTTAAGTTATACGCGAATATAAATTTCAGGGATTTATATATATATATATATATATATAATATATATATATATATATATAGATTACTTACTTTAAGTCTATCGCTGGACCACTGTTCGGCGCCTTTCTTGATACATTGCAACACTTCAGACACACTCAGATCACCGCCCGCCCCTTCTTGTACTCTCTGAAGGCGAGTCGAGAAATATCCTATGACCTAGTAACAAAAACATCCATCTTAAGATGAGACTTCCTATCCATCTCAATGTACAGTCAAAAGCAAACCAGGTTATACGAAACTTCGTTACTCAATTTTCAACCTTAATGCTAATGACTGTAGAGTTTAAAATCAATTTAGGAAATTTTATGTTATATAGTGACTTAACATGCAATACTGGTGTAGACAGTAAACTAAAATAAATACATTTCTTTTACCGGTAGTGTTTATTATACTATTACCGATAATCACCAGTGGTCGGAATTAGGTAGTTATTCATGTACTTACACTGATTTCATACAGCGAAAGAATAAAGTGGATATACCTCAAATCCCGAGATTAATTTTAAAGAGCAGAAAAAAATCCCGTAATTTTTTAAATAAAAAGTTATTTACTTTTACACAATTTAAACTACTGCACGCACGACGTTGCCAAACTTACATCAATGACATCGGATGTCCAAAGTTGCAAAATACCAATACGCGCGATGTTGCCACATTTGTAGGGAAGGTCCAGATTAATATCAACATTTCGATGCAAGTACATAAATAACTCTACCTAATTCTGATAATCACACATTCATGCTTACTACTTAAATTCATTATGAAACATCAAGTATTTTATGCTCGTTGTCACGTGACCGCCAACAGCGCGTGACGTCACGACCCTCTTACTCATATCAGAACTTATGCAAACACAGAGCGATATTCGTTTCAGAGTGCCGTGACGTTACAGCGACGCCATGACAGAAGTGGCATTTACGCGTGAAAATGTTTAAAATCAAATTAATTTTTAAATTTTAGTTTATTTTGTGAATGATATTTTTATTAAATATTTTTTTTATATATTTCATAAATATTTAACAATGTCCCTAAAAAAAGCATAATTATGAGAAGAATTAAAGCTTATTCGCACTTTATTTTTTATTACAAAACCAGTTGAAAAATTAGTAATTTTTGGTGTACGCACCATCTTAAGGCTGCCTATTAAGACAGAGAAAACTAGACGAAATTCACGACAATATACTTCTAGGTGGACCCTATTATAAAAGTATCGAAATTTGTACATTGTAATTTTAATTACATAAATGGAAGAGAAAATTTCTTTTAACAGTATTAAACGGAAAATTTATGAAATCTGTACTAATATATGTGCGAAAATAAATCTGTCTGTTACATTCTCACGACTAAACTACTTTAAAAAAAAATTTAAACCAATTTAAATGACCTTGCGAAAGGACATAGTTTTTATCTCGAAAAACAGGCTTAGAGATTCCACAATACATATTTTACAAATGCGAAAGTCACACTTTCTGTTACGTTTTCACGCCTAAACTACTGAGCCAATTTCGATAAAATTTGGTATTTAGATAGAGTGGACTTTGGAAAAGGACCGAAGGTAGTTTTTATCGCAATGAGTACACTAAAAGGGATTCCAAGACACTAATATTATAAATGCGAAATAACACACAAAAGATATCAAAACTTGCGACTTTAACTGCGCTATTAATAAACAAGGTTTAGCGTCGAAATAAATTTACGGTAGAATTGCAATTTCAGTATTAGTCCAAATTCATATTATACAGAGAATAAGCAAACCTAACTACATATTAGGAGTATATCTTACTTCCGTAGAACCTCGTACTAAGTTAACCTTTGCCAAGTCTCTGTTTGATAATATGAATTTTGACTAATACTGCACCTGGTATTAAAATCAGCGTAAATTTACTAAGGGTCAAAAGAAACAAACAGCTGTTAATATTACACATGAATAAGTAACTTAAATAGGTTATTCATCAGCCAAAAAAACAGTTTCCAACACTAAATTATACTAAGGTGATGAAGACATTCTCTTAAGGTAAGGTTATACAACATTACTACTATGCAATCCAATTTTATTATAAGGATATGCTTATATTTACTAAACAAAAATCACTTTATCCAAAATAAAACGCTCAACATTTTTGCTTTGGCTATAGAATCATTAATAAAACTTAATTAATAAGCTATACAGCATTACGCTCAAAAACAAAGAACAGATTTTCAAAGAGAAGAGAAAACAATGAGTTCAATCTCACATTTATGAAATTAAACTCATCGTTCTCTCCATATATAATAATTTCTTAATACATGCATAAGTATATGTTGCATAAAAGAATCTGTAATTTAATCAACAAGAATATTGTTGATTACAAATGCTTCTTAAATATATCTTTTTCTTCTTTATCTTCGAAGTTACATTATTTTTTTTTTTCTCAACAGATTTTTAAAATGGGATAGTTTACAATTAAACACATCAATATGCTGGTAACAATAATTATATGTGTTGCAAGCTCTCACCACACACCTATTTTTGGTATAATTAGTTTTGCATAATGGGATTGAGAAAACTGAATTGGAACGAGTATTTGATTTAGGACATCTAAATAATATACACTTAGGAGAAACGGGGAATCGATATAGTTATTAATTATTTTGTACAGAAACAGCTGATCCCTGTGTTCACGTCTTATTTCTAAAGTTTGTAGGTAAGGAACGTCATGTTTAAATTTGTAACTTAATCTTTTCAGAAACTTATTCTGAATTCTTTCAATTTGTTCAATATTAAAGCTAGTATATGAAATATTATGCGCACTCACCATTTCTATGTTCTGTGTGATAGGGTGATGCGAGTGGTGTTCGAATAGCTGCCTTTTATGCAACAGCGCGTACACCATATTCAAATTGTTAGACAACTGGTGCGTCAGACACGAATTTATTATCTCCAAAAGCATCCTTAACACCTCGTCCAAAACGCTAATGTGATCCATCTGAAAAAAAAATACTTTTAGAAAATACGTTTCTAGAGAGCGATTTTAGTTTGTATTATAAAAAAAAAATACTTTTGCGTTAATTACTAAAGTAGCTCGGTGGCGAAGTGGATAAGCGCCGCGGCACGCGATCGTTTTCGTTAAGCAACTTTCGCAAGGGTCGGTCACGGGATGGGTGACCAAAAAATTATTATCTCGAGCTACTCCGTGATTCGGAAGGCACGTTAAGCCGTTGGTCCCGGCTGCATTTGTAGTCGTTAATACCCGCAGATCCGCATTGGGCCAGCGTGGAGGGTCATGGCCCATCCTCCTTAACCATGCATAATGAAGGCCTGAGCCCCTGCAGTGGGGACGTATAAGGGATGACGATGATGGTGAATTACTCAAGACGATCGATATAAGTTTAGAAACAATGAGTCGGTGTAACTTGATCTGCAGTTGAGATTAGTTTAGAGTACAGTCAGCGTCATAATTGATCTCGATAAAACTTCTGTACTTCACATCTTTTTGATCACCTTGGGCGTTTCAATAATAAATACGCTGAATGTTTTTGACTATGTTCTAGTCATAACATATATAAGATGTAATATAATCATGTACCAGGACTTCGTGGAGTGAAAATAATCAGGTGTTAATACTATTGGCGATTGTAGGTATTAAAATTTTGTATGAAACAGTAGATTATTTTTTCGTGAATTCAGTGTTGCTCTATGGTATTAGTTGGTCAGTATACTTAACTCATCCATTTCACGAAGTCCTGGCATATAATAAAATTTGAACTTATATAAATGATTCTCATTTAAACATGACCAAAAGTTAAATATATCAAATAGTTATGAGGGAAAATAAATTAGATTTTGAATACTCATACCACTTCTTCTGTTTTCTCTTCGGCATGATGTGGAAGCTCTAATGAATTTATATCACCCCCTGTGAAAGAATACCATTGCATATTATATATATTTGTACTTACATAAGGAGGGTTATATATGCACCAACATGGTGCGATAACACTTTCCAGATTAAATAAAACTAATTTACAAAAGAAATATTGGTAGTCAGTGTGCTAACTTTAATATTGTCTTCATTACGGTAAATCATATCCAGGATATTTTTCTCTATTTATGACGAATACATGAACGGTTTGTTGTCACCCAAATGTCAATTAATTTCTGTCACATGCATTTCCTACAGCCTAAAGATGATAAAATAAAAGAAAGAGAGATAATAAATTATATAATATACTAGCTTTTGGCCGTAACTTCGTCCGCGTGGTCTAGTTGTAAGTCCAGAAATGAGAAAATTCCCTAAAAAGTTTCATCCCCTAATTTACCCCTCTAGGGATCGAATTTCGTAAAATCCCGTCTTAGTGAGCACCTACGTCCTAAAATGAACTCGCATGCAAAATTTGAAACTCCTAGCACTTGTAGTAAAGAAGTTTTATACAAACTGTCATCCTCTAATTTAGCCCCCTCGGGGTGGAATTTTCAAAAATCCTCTCTTTTTGCTCCTCTAAATTGCCTAAGGAATCTTCATTCCAAATTTCAACTTTCTACGCTCAATGGTTTCGACTGTACGTTGTCTGTCAGTCAGCCAGTCAGTCACTCAGTAACGCAAGAATTTTATATATATAGATTATTTAAGCTGTAGTGTACGTTACCTTCAATTTCACTACAAAGTCTCGTTCTTCTTTTAGTTAATATTTCAAATAGCGATATTAACCTTTGAGCGACGTACGGGTGAAGATTTCTGAATTCACCTGAAACGAAACATGTATTTTTATATAGAATAGAATAGAATATAATATGTATATTAAACACACAAAACTATGACAAGTTCTCAGTGGGTCAAAGGCGAATCTATTAATAATAGCATTATAGAAAATAAAAATCAACCACCACACACAAATAAAAAATAATATTTTGATTAATTAAATGTATATCATAATAACACAATGTTATTGTGTGTGTGTGATATACTCACAGCTCATGTTGGCGACGGCGGCGAGACAGTTGGTGTGCAAGTACTTGTCCCTCACCCGCGCCATGTTGTAATGTAACGCTCGCACTATAACTAACACCATCAGCCCGCCCACTGATATCTCCGATATAGAACGCTCCGTGTACCAACTTAGATTCTTCACCATCTGTACGTAAGGTGCATTATTGATTGGATTATCATCATCGGGGGCTCAGACCTTACTTATGGATGGGTAAAGAGGATGGGCTATGACCCTCCACGCTGTCCTAATGCGGGTTGCGAGGGTATTGACGATTGGAAATGCAGCCGGGACTCATTATGGTCCCAAATGTTATAAAAATTAAATATAGATATGTATCTGTTTAAATACCAATTTTTAGATGGTGAGAAATTATCCGTAGTATTCTTAATTACGGTACACAGATACAAGATCACATATAAGCTAGAAAAGGAGTATACAAAGGCAGCCTCATTGCAGTATCTAAAGAAAAAAATATATTAATAAAATTTTATAAAGTATATCAAGGCTTAAGATGTGCAATACGTTGACAATTTATATTTTCATAAATATTATAGCCAATGTCACCTGCATAATATGTAACTTCCCCTAGGTGAGAGTTTACAAAATCCGTCCAATAGTTTCGGAGCCTATGTTATGCATGTGTTGTTGATGAAAATACTGTCTGTAGTAGTGAAAAAGTAACAAGTGCTTCAAAAATTCGTCAGTCCTGTTAGGTCCTGGATAGCTCTGTAGTTAGAGCAGTCGCACGGAACGAAAAGTCATGGGTTCGAGTGTCAGGGACAAAGTGGATCTTTTAAGCATTTCTCAGTACAGCATTGTGAATGCAAATTGATCAAATATAATCATGCGATTAATACTTAATTACAGTAGCAGAAGTGGCCTGCAGTACTCATGTTTATTGAAATATGACGTCACAGCTCGAAATGTCACGTGGCTGACTATTTTCACGTGCCAATTTAAATTAATGAATAAAAAAATCCTTTATTTAATAATTTTTTTTTTGATAAAAGTAAATTTGATAGTGGTCCAACATGATTGTTTTAAAATACTTCTTAAAAATTTTGCTAAATATCCCTTGGGAGGAAATTGGTCTCGAAGAGAATAGGTAGCTTCCACAGCGAGAATGCTAATTCAGTTTTTTTTTCTATCCAGTTAAAGAATCGAATTCAGCACATACTTACGATTAAGTGTACGTTTTTGATGAGAGCGTCATCTTCGGTTAGTATGAGCAGTACTATTAGAGACATATATATGTGATGCGAGTTACTGTCTGGAGCGTTATATAATACTTGCAGTATAGGCACTATCTGTGGAAAAAAATCAAATATACTGTCAATAGGTGGAGTTAGTTTAGTCATTTAACAAGTCTTTTAGTTCGACACTAGTTGTTATACCGCGATTTCGCTCGCGTAATTATAGCGTGAGTTAGGCAGCGAATTTTTATAATCGAATTCAATATAAAACAATACAATCTTTTCTTTGTAATATTAGTATATATAACAATGTCCACAATTTCAATAATATTTATATAAAATTTCCCCGTTAGATGAACGCTCGAAGAGACAGAATAAATTTTAATATTAATGCTACAACTGTAACTTTTTCAAATGTTATTATAGAACTAGTTTTTGCCCGCGACTTTGTTTACTTTGAGTAGCATTTCTAACGAATATTTATTCATTATATCGTATGAAATACCTGAAATAAAGTTTCATCTCCTATTTTATCCCCTTGGGGGTAGAATTGATCAAAATCCTTTCTTAGCCTAAGTCATAACATCTACCTGCATGCTAAATTACAGCCCGATTCGTTCAGTGGTAATGGGCTGTGCGTTGATAGATCACTGTCAGTTATATATATATATATATATATAGATAGATGGCCTTATTGTGTTTTATTTAATAAACCAACTTTCCGCCAACATATCTTTCTATATTTACAAACAAACCTTCCTCTTCAATAACTCTGTATATTGATGAAAACTATATTAAAATCCGTCGTGTACATTAAATGAACTCAGCGTACAGACAACCGGAAACCTTTTCTTTTTAACAGTGATGAAAATTAGACTTTTTAGTAGTTTTTTTTTTAGTTTTTCTTTAAATTTAATCATTAAAAACTTACCAAATTCTCTATATTATTAACGTTGGCCACGTGCCTCTTGTACGCGTCGCACGAGTGAAGCATCTGGTATAAGAACAGTGTGGAATGTTCGCAGCCGGCCGTCGCACACAGAGCCTTATGTAACTATATATAAAATTCATAATTTAATACCATTCATTTAGGCTAGGAGGGTTTGACAACCTTTTTTCAAATTAATAAAAACATACGTATTTAAAAATTGTTAAACATTCTTTATTAAAAATGCTTAATATAAAATTTTTAATTGAAAGTAATATATTTGTAAAAATATTTCTTTCAGCTGTTTGGGTGGATTCTATTTAAGATAGATTGTGTTAGGACATAAGCAGTTAATGTCACTATCATTCATTCATTCATTCACTATGAAACATTATGTCAAAAATCATTAAAACGCATTGTTTTTCGTTCAACTTGGTTATTTTATACAACCTATTTTATTTTATACATTATTTAATCTCTATTAAATTTATATAGGCTAGAATATAACTGATGTTGTTTAAATTGGTAAATAGAATAAATAAACTAAGACCTATAGAGGCCTTTCGATTTGATTGCATCTATAGAGATGCAATCAAATCGAAGCGGGAGAATGGACCCACCACGCTGGTCCAATGTTGATTGGTGGGTGTTAGCCGGGACCACGGCTCAATGTGCCTCCGGAGTAAGGAAGAGCTCGATAAAAGTAAATTTTGGGTCACCCATCCTATGATCTGCCATTGCGAAAGTTGCTTAAAAAGCGTATTGCAGACCGAGCGCCGAGAGTGATTAGCCATTACGCCATAGAGCTCCTCGATATATAAAATATAATTTATGTTGTTATATTATTAAATACACTCACAGCTGCCATATCTATCCTTGGTGGAGTGACTTGGGCACCCGATCCATTGCTATCTCGCTGCGGGGTAGTTGCCGAAGCTTCTAAAAAAAAAAAAAATCTAAGTAAAATCGGCCAACTGCGAGTGCATCAGTGAAAATTTCAACTGTCAAACTATCACAGTTCACGAGATACGGCTAGGGCATGTATATACCGGTATACCGGTATACCGAAATACCGGTATACCGGACAATTTTTTCGGTATTTTGATACCGGTATTTGAGGATAAAATACCGGTATTTCGGTATTTAAAAAAAAGCTTTATATTTTTGCAATATCAGCTGTTAAAAGTCATTGATACGTTTTCACACATATTTTTAGGGTACCAAAAGATCAAAGGACTGAGTATGACTGAGTAGACTACGCTGTCTCCGCCTGTCAGCGGGCTCTATCTCCGAAACCGCTGAAGCTAGGAATCTGAAATTTTCACAGAATGTGTACAACTGTTGCCGTTACAAAAACAAATACTAAATCCTGTTACAAGTTTTATCCTCTAAGTGGCGCTGATACAACAAAGTGTCAAAAATTGGAACAATCTCAGCCGTTATCAAAGCTAGCAAAATATTTTTATTAATTTATCATACCGAATTGGTTCTTAAATCAATAATAAATAAAGAATATTATTCTCCAACGGCACCCTTCGTGCGCGAGTTCCACTCGCCGGTTTTTTATATTTCACAGCACAGTTGTACACGTTATGGAACCCACACCCAGCAGTTGTATATATAAGGACGCCTTCGCCTATGTTATGTCCATCCCCAGGGTTCAACTATCGATTCAAATAATCGGTAGATTCAAAACGATTCGAGTATCCAGTCCCATCACTAATCATGTGACGCGCACGCCGAGCACGCCACTTCCTTCCCCTCCCTCCGCCCGCCGCCGGCTCGCGGCTTCCTCAGTCAGTTCTGCTGATATTATTGAAGCGAGAGCACGTTGCCGTTTGTTTACTACTCTAACTCCACCAGCTTTTTAAAATGGAGGTACAAGAGGCAGATTTTTGGATGCAGCTTACAAGTACCTATTAAGCATTCCTCCCACCAGCGTTGAATCAGAAAGGGCGTTTTCATCTGCAAGTTACATTTGTAACAAAATAAGATCATCGTTAAACAACGCAACTTTGGACGCATTGTGTTTTCTTCGTTCAATTTTACAACAAACGCGATCTACCTGATTGAGATTTAAGTTGAATTGCGCCTTTGATACAAATAATTTTAAAATAAGTAACATCATTTGTAATTTGATTTTGCTTGAAAATTTTGTAACTTACATGTTATAAGTTCTATTATTATAAGAGAGCTGATTGTGATATTTGTGCCAATTAAACAATAAATGAACGATACTAGGATCAAAGAACGTATTTTCTTTAGTATGTCTTAATTAATAACCTTACATTAATTACCTACTATTTTTTTGATTTCTAGGGAGTGAATAGTTTCAGTGTTTTTACTTTGGAGACTTACTAAACGTTCTTTAAATTATTTATACAGTAGTTGCTGTTTTTTAGCAGTGATTTCAAAATATACCGAAAAAATACCGAAATACCGGTATACCGGTATTTGAAAGTCTAATACCGGTATCAATACCGGTATGAAAATCATTCCGGTATTCCATGCCCTAGATACGGCCACGTGACAGACAGATAGACGGACGGACGGGCGGACGGACAGCGAAGACTTAATAATAAGATCCCTTTTACCTTTTGGGCAAAAAGCCTTATTAAATATTTTTGTTTCCTCACCTTTTAAATATACAAAACAACACATCAGGTCGAATTTCGTCTTAATTAAATAACACATTAAGGCTTAAAATTGATTGGAGTAATATGCATTTATTTATTAATACATAAAAAAGTTTATTTTATTTTTGATAAGTTATAAAATACATAAAAAAACCTTTTTTTTTTTAATATTGATATGGTTTAAACTTTTGCAAATTTAAAACACATCGCTTTATTCTTTGAATATTAAAATCGATGTAATGAAAGTATAAATGCCTCAACATTTCCACATGACAATATCTACCCTATTCCTTAGATAATAAAGCATACGTTTGAATGAAAATAAATCTTACCTGCCGTATCTTCGCATGAGAGTAGCGCGTTCCTATACAAATTGTTCTTGTTGATGCAATGATTGGCCAAAGCTAACAGCAACAGACAAGACTGGTTGGCTAGAGGGTGTTCCGTTTTCAATCTCTCCAATGTTTCATGACGATCTAGAGGGGGATGTGTGTAGATAGTGTGCCGGGACGCCGTATTGAATGTTAACATATTCCATATGCCAGCTGTTGATAGAGATAACCTTTGATTTAAAAAAAACCTTTCATCATCAGTTCACCTAGCAGAATATATTTACAAATGAAAATATATATCTTAAGTAGTTTATGCAACTGTCATATAAGAAGGAGTATTAAAACACGGGAGTCTGTTTATATTCTCTTTATAGTGTTTTAATGCCTAAGTTATATGCAGTTTCTTACACTACTTAAATCTTCACTCATAGGAAAAAACAATGAAATTAAACAAAGTAGGTAGGTTACAAGGAAGTAATTTTTTGGAATCCCCAATACAAAAACACGATCGGCAAAAAATGTATGGGTAGCGCGGGAAATTAAGTTCATCAACTACGCATGCGTCCGACATTTTTTCATATTCAGTCTAAAACCATAGACAAGTTTAATGAATAAAAAAAGATAGCGGTACTATAATGAGTTTTATGATACAGTTGGCGGTACTAAAATGAGTTTTATTTTTAATTTTATGTATATGCGTTTATAAAGTGCGTTTGTATAGAATCGTCTTTGACTTCTTAATTCAAATTTTTTTATTTGTGTGTAGATAAACGTAGTTATAGACATCTATTTTAACCTAATTTGGAGATAAAGCTCAATGTAACTAGGTTAAAAAATCCGGTCAAGTGCGAGTCGGAATTGCGCACGAAGAGTTCCGTAACAGAAACGAGCAAAAATAATCACGTTTTTATTTTTTTATTTATAGTTACTATATATATTCTGTAAAGTTACCTGTTGTCGTTATCAATATCGAACAAAAACAAGTCTGTCGTATGGTAGCCCCCTTAAATATAAGGCGTAATATTATTAAATGCCCGGGTTTCGTGGTGTGGATTAAATAAGTATACTGAACAACATTGTAATGCCTACAATCGTTGATATTGTGAAACAGCTGATTATTTTTTCGTGAATTAACTGTTGGTCCCATAGTAAATGTTGTTCAATAAACTTAACTTATCCAGCCCATGGAGTCCTGGCATATAATTTATACTCTGATTACATTTATTTTTTCTGTTTAAGCAACAGTATGTCACTCACATGCTATATTGATGAATAAACTGCCACCTTGTGCTGTAGTGCCGAACATGCTCGGGGGAGCGGCGAGCATGCTCGACACATTGTTCAGGAGTGTTTTCACCAACAGAGGTGCGTGCATACCGTACCTTCCTTGGAATAGAGTTCTGTAACATACATACTAATTAAAAACAGACCAAATTAGTCGGACTCCCGCATCGGTATTTATTAAAAAAATATATATTTACTCTATTCTGTCTTTAGAGTTTGTTGTTATAGTAGCAACAGAAAAACGTGTGAAACTTTCAACTGCCTAGCTATCACAATTCATGAGACGCAGCCTGGTGACAAACGGACAGATGGACGGTGAAATCTTAGTAATAGGGTGCCGTTTCTACCCTTTGGGTACGGAACTCTAAAAAACGATTATTTTTAATCAAAAGCGAATATCAGACAATATTATTTTGACAAACATCACCTGTATATTAGCGAAGTTTCGACGAGGCGAGCTTGTCCATGCACGCTCGCGAACATGTACACGGACATTAGAACGAGCAGGGTGTTTATGCATTCTAGGTGAAGGTAGTAGGTGTTGTCTCTATAACATAAAAAAAAACATAATGGCAAAAGCACATCATGTTATCTGACATCTATGCTAATATTATATAGACGAAAGTTTGCTTGTGTTTGTTTGCATCAAATATGTTTTGAAAACACTGGACCGATTTTAAGAGCTGGCTGTTTATGATTTCACTGATAGATGCAGAGATATTTATGCTGATAGGACATCACACTATGGCGGGTCGTGTTTCATATCACGTGATCCAACAAAAAAAAAAAAGTGTTAAAGTATGAAATTCCCGATTTGTTCTGAAAAATTAAACTTTTTTTTTAGTTGAAAGCCTATTTATTTAATTAAAAATATTTGACCTCATTATCATATATTGTAGCCATCTAATCGGAAGTACCTTTATGCCTTTGTGATAGAACTCTGGGGATCTAGATTCACCAAGCTGAGTAAAAGCATTTTAACTAAACAAATATCTATTACTATAAGACAGCAAATTCATACTTCAACCCATATTATTGTTATTATTTTCATCATGGAACACTCACGTGACAGGTGCATCTATGATGAGCCCGATGAGTGCGTCTATGAGTATTTCCACGCGGCTCTCAGAGCCGGTGAGCCTTGGCGACGTCTGCCCGCCCGGCTCTGGCTCACGATTATTAGCACTCGCGTCTCCCTGAACACATACACAATATGGAATGGATATTTAGCAAGGCAATACGAACGTGAATGAAGAAGACTCACCGCATCCTGATCTCTTGTTTCCACTGGCCCATTAGCTCGCCTCTCCCCTTGAACGTCAAGATGGCGGCACAGCTGATACTCCGGCACCATCTCGACCAAGTACTTGCTGACTGCTCGTATAACGAACAGAGCGTTGAAGGTCTGCCATGCCAACATTACACTGCAAATAGCCAGTTTCTAACTTATGTGATATTGTTACATAACCGATGTTATGTTATATGCTACTCGTAGTTGACTACTTTTTATTTTATTTTATAAATAAATAGTCCATTAATATTTGAGAAATATTGTAGAAGTAACAGTTTCGGAGATACAAATTCTCTAAAAATTCACGTCGTCACGCCTTGCTACGCTAGCGAAAAACGTATGAGCGCCTGGGCAATTTTTGCAATATCTTTGTTATTTGTGCATTTGTTTATAGTTGTTATAATGAGCGTTAATGTTACTAATTTAATGCCTAATTTTATTTCTCAACATACACACATTTATAACATATATGAATATTAGGCCATTCCAACGAAATTATATTTCATTTTTGAAGTTGGTTAATAAACTCAATTCAGTATTGAATGTCTATACGTACTTATCACTGTTTGGTGTTGCCAGCAACTCCGTCGCCCTGGTGATGAAAACCTGCACCAAAGACCCAAGGTTGCCAGTCTGCGGATTGTTCTGCAGAAAATTCTGTAGCAAAGCTTCCGCACTTGAATCGAAGATCAGTTGTTCTTCACTGTTGATATGAAATAAATTGAGTTAAATAGTTAACATTGTATATTAGTTATATGGTCCATTTTTTTTCTGTAACTCTGGCAACTTCAGCCGAATTAAATTGTTCACAGAGCTCTGTGGGCAAGCGGCCATCCTGCGGTTTTGGTATTCTGTAACTCGTTTTTAATAAAATACTAATTCCTAGCCAGTTGCTAAATATATTTATTATTTAGATGACATCACTCATAGAAATACAATTACGTTATATCAGTTTATCGCTACAAGATCAAACTGCAAGTATCAAACTGGAGTTCAGTGTAGATCGCCGATATTGACATTTCAAAATTGCGAACCATTGATAGAAATTTTGAGTCATAAGAGTTACTCACTTTTTTACAGCCTATAGTAAATTACATGTTTTTCCTGAGATTTTGCCCGTGTAAATTATGGCCTATTATGTAGCCGCGTAGTATTAAAATTTCAACTTTGACCCTACAAATAAACAGTTCGAAAACTTTACTCTTTAATAGTAGTGTTCCACGATTTCGCCAGCGTAAATTATAGCCTATGACACTCGCGTGTGATGTAGCTTCCCGTAGGTGCATGAATTTTCATGATCAAATCAGTATTTCCAAAGACTATCTCGTACAAACAGACAAACATAGCTAGATGACTATTGGTGAAAAGTATGAATTAAAATCTAAACACTTACGCATTAGCAGGTGGATTGATGTTGAAAGCTAACATCTGATTCCAGAAAGGGTCATTGGGGCATATCACCTCGGCCGAACAGAACCTCGCTAACAGCTCATTTGATGATATCTCCGAGTACTTACTAATTGCCACACCCATAGTTCTAAAAAAAACAATAATAATTATTCAGTCAATTTATATTAATCATTCTCCTTCTTCTTATATTAATCATTCACTTTCAGATTGTTATACTATTGAGAATGTAGTCTAACTACACCTCTTTTGCTCTACTGGGGTCTTCAATTTTATACAAGCCCAACGATCATCGCACTGCCCAAGGCACATAATCAGCCATGCCCGTTACAAATTAGCAACTGACCCCAACTAATTTGATGCTTTCTTTGATGAGCATATTCTGGATTTGAGCACAAAGAACTGTTTTTTCACTACGTATTCTGTAAGGAGTTGGAGCCACCAGATGAAAGTTCAGTGGAAGCATTATATCATTGCTGCACTTTCATGAACAAGCAAGCGTGGACAGGGTAATTCATACTCTTATCATCTGCCATTTTGGCATGGTGTGCAAAGAATGCACACCAGCACAGTTGCAGGCATTGGAGGGACACCCCAGGTTCTATGAGTTTGTATAAAAAGAGAAGTTGCATGTGGGACGGGCTTCAAAGACCTCACATTTAATAGACAAGAAACAAGAAAGAAATTATAAGATGCTAAAATAGTGATTGACTGCTTTGTATTGCTGAAAATAAATTATATTATAATCACTGATTATTTGATTTTATTACAATTTTAAGTTTATGTTATACACCAAAACAACTACAATGTAAAACCAACTTTTATAGATTAACACAATCAGTGGGATGTTTTGATAAAAACTATTATTTATGCAATGGGAAATAATATTTGTGATAAGATCAAAATAGCTGTAGTTAATTAAATTATTTACAATGCAGCCCATCTCGGTTTAATAGATTTACAATTTACAGTTATTAAGTCTCTATTGCTGTGATTATATATTCATATATAAATATTTTTAATGAAAAATCGAGATAGGGTTTGAATCCCATCTCGGAGTACATGGGACTAATCGATTTTTAAACATTTTTCATTAAGAATATTATCTTATTTAAATTTTATCAAGAAATTATTGCTATAATAATGATGCCTGCTCATATTTTTTATAAGTCTTTCAACTTTTAAGCTATTTTATGGTTAGAGAGCAAAAGGTATAATAAAAAAAAACACTTATGTCTAATGTCAAAGCGCATACATTAACAGTTGAGATAAAAATAAAAGCATAGTTTTGTAGTCCATATGGATTGATGCAGGAAGCTGCATCTGTTTTTTCATCTTCTATCTGTGACAAATACAGAAGTCAACAAGACAACTTGAGGTCATGTTTAACAATTGAAAAACCTTTAAAGTGGGTAAAGTATTAAAAACTGTGAATAAATATCCGGTATAAATATTTGTTTAGTCACATCAATCGTAATGTTATCATTTTTAGATAAAATAAACAAAATCTACGCATCGGCTCCGGTTGTTAAATAGTGTCAATATAGATAAAAAAGAACAGTAAGGAAATTTAAATATTACCTGCACTTTACGCAGTTATAGTAAAAGTAGCAAACAACGTAAATACATCAATTAATTTGTTAAATTAAAATTTATGAGCCACGAAATCACCACCCAATATGACATTGACATTTGATATAAATGACCATTTATTTTTTAAATATTTTTTAAAATAAAATAAGACAATGGAATCTATAGTAGGGGAGCCCAAGCGGGGATTTCGGGATTTACTAAAGCGCGGCAGATTAATATACAGGGTAATATACCTTGTACCCAGTTAAGTACCTGGACCAAGTATGAGCCCTAAATTAATGGCCGCCCGGCAAGGACGAAGGATCAGATTAGTAAAAAAAAATTGATATTCTGAAAATCTCGAGCGCATCAGATTAAGGTAAGGTGAGCTAGTTACATGCTAAAATATGTACATACCTCTAATCTGACAATTTGAGAGTGACGTAAAGAAGCGGGAAGGCTACAAAGTTGTAAAAAAACGTCACTTAGTCATTCTCGAGCGTGGCTAACTTTTTTTTATTTTGAAGGGAATCATTCAGGGATTACGAAAAATATATAATCTGACGATTTTCACAAGCCGAAGTAATAAAAATTCATCGATAAGATTTAATGCGTGCAGCTACGTAATACCTATATTTCCTTCTCCGCATCGCTATTTCTCTCTCACTCTTTTTCTATCTATTACTCTCTCACTCCGTCCCCACTCTGGTTTCGGTTGCCATAACGCCATGACAGCTGATGACACGGATTCGTTCGTGGCATGATATTGTTTACATCGTATTTCCAACGTTTTTGCTTATTTTGTTATTTTAATGTAAATTTGTGAATTAAACTTTTTACATATTTACTAAGTGAAGAAGAGGAAGATGATTCTAGCGATGAAGATGATAATTAATAAAAAATACTGTAAAAAAATAAATTTTCATATAATCATTTTCTTATAAATATAAGTATTTTACATAAAAAAACATACACTTTTTTATTTGCATGTTAACTCCGGTGCTTTTCTTTTGAATTAAGCTCAATAATTTGAAAAAATTAAAAAGCAATTTTATAATTGTCAGATTAAGTAAGTCCCTTCAGATAATCGTCAGATTATGAGATATCACTTCAGAGGCATAAAGATGAACCATATATATCTTAATCTGATGCGCTTGAGTATTTCAAAATGCCGATTTTTTTTTGCACATTCTAATAATGATCACGCGTTTGCATCACATCCAAATCGTCAGATTATTATATGAGAGCATTTTTTACATCCCCTCAAAAAATCTGACACGCTCGATAACTTTTTTTTCATTTTCAACCCTTACGTATAACCACCCTCATCATGGAAACGATCAGATTAACATACGACAGTTTTTAAAAATGCGTAGGACATGGATGATATTAATATCTGACGCGCTCGAGTATGTTCATACATCAGTTTTTATTTTACATTTTTAAAAATCTATAGCCGCTTCCCCCACCGATGAAAAGGTATATATTATATGATTTTTTTTTTTGTTATCATCTAAACTTCGCAACCCAATAGGTCTTTATAACGCTCGAGTAAATCCCGATTTAACGTCGTGGTCTCCCCTACTACTAGTCCCTACTTAGATTTATTACCATTATTACCTGCTTTTATTTTGAAATATGTTTGACTTTTTGAACTTTTTTAGTAATCGAAAGGAAGATACTGCATTCATTTCATATTCATTTTACATGTAGAAATTAATTTATTCACTTGACATTGGCAGAATTGTGCGAAATGCGCACTAGATGTCGTTACGGTACTTTCTTGATTTCTCCATGACAACCTTTCCGGTTTTCTTTCATTTATAAAACTTAATATACAACTCATATTCTATTTGTACTTTTTCGTATTTGTAAGTTTCGAACTTCAGTTTTCTTTTTCTTCAAATTTCAGTTTTTTAATATGTTAGTTAAAAGGAAGTGAATGTCTTTGGTCCATTCGTTTCCTGCAAAAATCAACTTTTGCTACAGTGGCCATCTAGTGAAGGTGATTTTTGGTGCTTTCGTTTTTTTAAATACTTCCTCATTTGTTAAAATGTTGAAATACGGTAATTTTTTCTTTTGTATACAGCAAACTAAAAACGCACTCCTTTACTCTTTGGAAGTCAACTGCCGAACAATACGTTATAGGGATGGGCAAATGGGAAAAATAATATAAAATATATCGATAGTTGATAAATATTGTCCAAAATATATCGATTTTTTTTGTGTAATAAGCGATTATCTATAAAAATTGACAAAATATTTGAAATTTTAAAGCAAATAAACACCTGGCTGTTTTGTTATTTACAATAGGTAGATAAGGCCAAGAAAATAACATCCTCAACACAACAAAAATTACATTTTTCAAACAAATTAGTATTTGTCTGATATTAACATCAGGAGTGCCATTGTCATAAACAAACAAAAAAGATAAGCAGGTCATAGACTGTAATTTCTAAACCATACAGCCTACTACCTACCTACTCTTTTTAAATTTAAGATATACATGATAAGTTGTATGGGCAGACAGCCGAAC